AGTTTTCATTTGGTGGTTCCGCGGCAGTAGTTAATCGCTGGACACCAGAGGTTAAGTTGATTTTTATTAGCATCCACAAGCAACTATATACACAGTTTCAAAAAGGTAAGCTTAACAAATGAAATCAACACTGCAGTGCAAACAAGCAAATACCGGTATGTTAATTGATCATCTACTCATCTTCGAAGCCCTCAAATTTGCTTTTGTTAGAATCTTCGTCAAACAGTCAAGCAGTATCTTCCGGGATATAGCCCTCGACATCTTCATCCAAGTAATACAAATCATTGTCATCTGCGCATACCGCTAATTTGCCCTTGGCCGATCCATCGTCGCTCGGATCCATCCACAGGGCATCATCCTCGCTGCCATCCTTAGCATTAGAGATGCTGCATTTCAGAAACCCCTTCCTTATCATAGTGAGATCAAGTTCAAGCCAGACATCTGCTATCCACTGGGTAACATCTTGCAGCGTTGGTGTTCGCATACGTCCACCTGCAGTAAATGTATGTTCACCTTCCAACAACCAGGTGTTCCGTTTCCTGCGTAGTGCATCTTTCATTGGCTTGTTAACTGTCACGTCAAGCGGCTGCAACATTTTGGTCATTCCACCAGGAATAATTGCCAAGTCTGTTTTGTCTTGCTGGAGCCTTTTCTTGATGGATAGCATACAATGACACTGAAATGCATCCAAAACTACTAAAGACCGCTTTCTCTTAAGTCCACATGGCCGCTTTGCCCAAACTGTCTGTAACCAATCAAGCATTAAAGCCGGCATTGTCTTGCGCTTGAACACGATATAAGGAAGCAGCTTCGTTCTGTCAGCCATGCAAGCAAGCATTACGGTAAACCTAGACTTTTCATGGCCTGTGGTAGCAATGGAGATGGTCTTGGCACTTCTCAGTTCAAGCGTTCTGTCATAGAGATTATCGAAATGTAATGGTGTTTGATCTGTGTTACCAATTAATGAAAGGTCGTAGCAGTGCTGCTTCTGTAGCTTTGATAAACTTTTGGAACTGCAGTAACTTGGTGTCTGAGTCCATGGGTAGCTTCTGTGCAATTGTTGTTTGGCATTGGACCAATAGGCCATGGCGATTCATGAACCGATTGCCCCAGCCATATGAAGCTTTAAACCCAGCTGTGTTAGCGCACGTTTTGGCAATGGTCAAAGCCTTCATTCTAACCTCCGCAATGCTAACACCACCTCCTTGCTGTCTACACTCAGCAATCCATTCAACCAGCTTGGCCTCCAACTCAGGATATGCAGCGCTTTTACCTCGCTCAGCCATCTTCATCCTAGGCAGCGCTTGCAGGGGCTCTTTCTGTCGTCTCCAAAGCCAAATGTTAGACTCCGCTATGTCATCAAATTCATGGCTGGCAGCTCTGTTGCCATGAGCCTCAGCACAGCTAAAAACTTTCAGTTTTTCAGCGGTCGTGTAAGATCACCAATAACTCATGGCATCCCAAAGAGAGCATGGAACACTGTATACTCGTGTGCTCATGCATGATTACCCAGCAATACAAAAAGGCAAGACAAAATACGGCAAAGTCAGGGTGCGCGCTATAGATAAGAGTTCAGTTTATTCCGGGATTCTGACAGTTCAAAATGTAGGTGTGCATTATACTCAAGTTTTTTACGGTAGTCGCTCATATGCGTACCCTTGTATTCCACCTTTCTCCCCAGACAGGTTGTGGTCTTCCACGAATTTTTGTTTATTGCCCACAACCTGTCCATGATGGATACTAAAAAATAGGATTGCCAAACCTCCCAGATTGATGCTGACTGGGAGATTCCATGCCAATCTCCTGGTGACTGTTGAAATCCGTCCTGGAGATTTTTAATATAATGTTTAAGAAAATGACACTGACCTGTTGGGAGGAGGGGGGGGAGGAATCTCCCAGAATAGCTTCAGTCAGACTTGGCAATCCTAATTAAAAATAGCTGTGACAAAATCTTAACTTTACCTATAAGCAACGATGGTCTCTGTAAGTGATCACATTATAAGAAAAAGGTGGCTGCCATGAGCCCTATTTATGTACAGCTTAGTATTTTGTTTATATGAGGAGAAAATAATGAAATAGAGTATTTGTGATTTGTTTCCTTGAGTGTAGTGTTGCATTTTCATTCATATAGAGCAGGGATGGGGAACATATTTTGGGCTGGGGGCTGCTGACCCACAGAAAAATCAGTTGGGGGCTGCACCCAAACGGATGGGGAACATATTTTGGGCTGGGAGCTGCTGACCCACAGAAAAATCAGTTGGGGGCTGCACCCAAAACAAACAACCCCCCCACACACATTCATGTAGCCCCCACATTCTCCTGGCACACCAGAGCCTGGGGGCGGGGGGCAGTGTAGTAGATTTTGTGTGCTTATTGCCCTGCGGTGAGGCAGCAGAGGGGCTGGAGCGCCAGTGTAGGCTCCCCAATGCTTGGGCAGGGGCCTGAGCCTAGGAGGCTGCACCCAGCCCCCGGGCCTGAGGTTCCCCACCCCAATCTAACAGATTACATTTTGTTTATGTAGCACTAATCAAGATATCTAAGATGTTTTATGATAGGAAGATGTAGCGTTTTCATTTCTGAAACAACCTAGTCATTATATAAGGCAGAAAAGTGCAATCTGTGAATAACTATACAGTTAACAGAACAATCTTTCATTTTACCTACGGTATTAAATATTGTATGCATGACATGTATCACTTGAGTAAGATGTTACTTGTTGATGAACAGTCTCTGATATTAATAGTTGTGGGATTTAGGGCATGGTGATGTAATAACACGATAGATCAGTTACATCATTTCTCATGGGTCTCCTTAAACAGTAGCTGCATGTTGTGTCCAAGATGCTATGAAGTAAAGTTAAATTGCATATGCTTTTTTGGAATGTTTACCAGAATCCCAGAAATGTGTAATTCTCTAAAGCTGTATGTTTTCAAATAGCTAGATTAATGACGACGAAGCATTGGCCTTTTGTGTTATCTTTGTGAATCATGTATTTAATTTGGGTAGATTTTTATTACTTGAATACACTTCATATATAATGGGTGGTAACCATATAATTTGCTCTGTTTTCCTGACCAAGTTTATACAGATTGGTCTCTTGTCTCTTGGGATAACTCTTTGACTGTTCAAGTCACATGGATGTGTTGACTGCTGTTCCGTGTCTGGAACAGCTTGTGACTGTTTACTGGAAAAAGAAGCAGCTACATTGTAAAAACACTCAGAGTAATATCTCTGAATAGCTTAATAATGGACATTTAAAGAAATTCCAGCATAAAGGTTTGGGATTAGGGATGTAAAAGACTAACTGGTTACCCGGTAAGCATGATTAGCCTTACCTGCATGCTTACTGGGTAACTGGTTAACCAGAGGGCTCTGCTGGCAAGAGCAGTTCCCCCCTTGCCTATGGTGACCCAGCCAGCTTAACTCTGGCTGCAGCAGGTCAGTTAGGGCTAAAGCAGCCCCCACCACCAATGGTGGTAGTTAACCAGTTAAACAACTCTTTCAACCAGTTAACCAATGTAGGCAGTTTTTACATCCCTGTTTGGGATTTTGCTATTAAAACATACAGAATGACACTAAGGCCCTTGATAAAAAGGTCCATTAATAAGAGTGGAACAATAAGCTGACCTTCTGACTGAGCTGCTTCAGAAAAGAACATGTTTACAGTGTTGAATAACAAGAAAATTATAAAACAGAAGCCTGAAAACTGTAAGGAATGAATATGGTATTTAAAAAAAAAATCCATTTGACAGAACAGTAAAGGAATGCCATACTGAACCATTTTAGCAGATACTAATAATCAGCCATTCAGAATTGTTTATTTCTTTGAGCATTAAGGGAAATTGTGTATTCAGTTCTGAGCACCACATTGTTACATTGGGTGTGGTCAGTTGTGTCAAGACCCTGGAAAGATTCACTTATGAGGAAAGAGCAACAATATTTGTTTGAAGATGGGGGGTGTGACAGGGACCATCATGTAAAGGTTGTTAGCACCAAAGATGGAAAGGAATTGTAATGTGGTGTGTGAAGGGGTCCCTCATAAGGCGTCCGCTCCCCTTTCACCTTCTCCACGATGTGACCCTAGCGATGGGGCTTACTTGGATTCTCAGCAGTGCACCACTCCTGAGCGGTGTGTGAGGGGACCTGGGTCCTCCCTCTCTCCAGGTCCCAGCCCAGAGCCTTAAGCTGGGGGTGTCTCCTCCCCCCACCTGACAGGCGGGGCTAACCGCCTAAACTCCCCAATCCAGAAGCAAGACGACTCCTGCCCTCCCTGGGCTACTTCCTCACCCCTGCTCCCTGGTCCTCCCTCAGGCCTCTCTCTCTTGGCCCGGTGACCCCTCACCTGTCTCTGCTCCCATCGCTCCTCCCTACCGAGTCGGCCCCTCCCCCCCATTTTGTAGGCCACCTGCCTTCTCCCTGGTCTGCCTCTAACACACCTGCGCCAGCGTCCCCCGGACTCGCCCCTCCCGCGCATGCGCCGGCGCCTCCTGACCTTGCCTCCAGCTAACTCCCAACGCGCATGCACCTAGCCTCGGTGCTCCACAGCCCGTCTTCCATGGTGTTTGCGCAGGCGCCCGCCATGTCTTCAGTGGCCACGGGAGCGTCTTCGCCCTCCTGGCGCGTTCCAGCCGCCACCGCCCTTCTAGGTCCTGCCTCGGGCAGTGCGGGGTTCCTTCACCCCGTCGCACAGTGTTTGGTGGTACTTTATAAGAAAATGTAAAGTATACATTTTGGGCATCATGTAGTTGAAATATCAGGAAAAACCTCTTGACAGAAAAGTGTATTAGGGTATGTCTTCACTGCCACCCTAGTTCGAACTAGGATGACTAATGTAGGCATTCAAACTTGCAAATGAAGCCCGGGATTTAATGCTGCTGTGTCAACGTGCCTATAGTTAGTTTTCTGACCTATCATTTGGGGAACATCTCATCTGAAATCAGATGCAGTATTTCTGTATTTAAGAAGATTTAAATAGTTCTTTTTTTCTGGTTTTGTTGTAGGTGAAATTGTGGTAAATGAAGTCAATTTTGTGAGAAAATGTATTGCAACAGATACAAGTCAGTATGATCTTTGGGGGAAGTTGGTTTGCAGTAACTTCAAGATTTCGTTTATTACGGATGATCCCATGCCACTTCAGGTTTGTTTCTCACAATTGATACATCATGATTTATGATAAATATGATTAACAAAATAGATTCAGTTAAACCTCAGTAAATTTCTCAAGTAATTGAGAGATCTAACCTCATTCTATAAAACAACAGAAGATCAAATATGCTTCCTGAATTACTGGCATGCCAGTCCTTAATTTGCCCTTTTGTATCTACAGACTGTAGTTAATATTTTTCACATCATTTGGGCTACTCTTTGTAGGAGGGAACTTTAGGAAATGCTGTTAAGAAGCCAAAGACTACTATTCTGAGAGTTCCAGGTTTTCTTTATGTAGATAGTTCAGCAAAACCTTTAATATGTGCCCAAGTCCTATTAGAGTCAGTGAGGCAGAGGACAAAATACAAGTGATATTATAGTTTCTATAAAGGCAGCAATGTATATAATTAAGGCTGGTTGTTCATAATAACAGAAAAGGGAAAAGTCATAACCTTGGTTTAATTTTTAAACATTTTGGCAAAGAATATTTTAATATAAGATAGGTTGTTAAAAATCATTTACAACTTTTTTTAAAAGTACCGAATTGCCTGCCTGGACATGTATTTAGCTCACAGACTCATAGAATTTAAGGTCATAAGAGACCATTATGATCATCTAGTCTGACCCCCTGCACAATGCAGGCCACAGAATCTCACCCACCCACTGCTAGAATAATCCTCTCACCTATATCTCAGATATTGAAGTCCTCAAATTATGGTTTAAAGATCCCAAGATGCAGAGAATCCTCCAGCAAGTGATCCGTGCCCAAGCTACAGAGGAAGGCAAATAGCTATGTCTAGACTGCAAGCTTCTTTCGGAATAAGCTTTTCTGGGAAAGATCCTCCGGAAAAGCTTATTTAGAAAGATAGCATCCACACGGATTGGATGCTATCTCGCATTTAAGGCCACCCAGAACCAGTTCAGGCATTAGGTCAGCAGTTGCTTCCAGGTGCTGTTGCCTAAAGCTAGCTGAGACATGTGCTTAAAGGGTCTTGAAGCCAGATAGGTCTTTTGCCTCCACTACTTCCCTTGGAAGGCTGTTCCAGAACTTCACTCCTCTCATAGTTAGAAACCTTCGCTTAATTTCAAGTCTAAACTTCCTAATAGCCAACTTATGTCCATTTGTTCTTGTGTCAACATTGGTATTGAGCTTAAATAATTCCTCTCCCTCCCTGGCATTTAGCCCTCTAATATGTTTAAAGAGAACAATCATTCCTCCCTCAGCCTTCTTTTGGTTTAAGGTAAACATGCCAAGTTCCTTGAGTCTCCTTTCATAAGACAGGTTTTCCATTCCTCAGATCATCCTAGTGGCCCTTCTTTGTATCTGTTCCAGTTTGAATTCATCCTTCTTAAACATGGGAGCCCAGAACTGCACACACTATTCCAAATGAGGTCTCACCAATGCCTTGTATAACGGCACTAACACCTCCTTATCCCTACTGGAAATACCTCGCCTAATGCATCCCAAGACCGTATTAGCCTTTTTCACAGACATGTCACAATGGCAGCTCATAGTCATCGTGTGATCAACTAGGACTCAAAGGTCTTTCTCCTCTTCCGTTACTTCCAAATGATGCGTCCCCAGCTTATAACTAAAATTCTTGTTATTAATCCCTAAATGCATAACCTTACACGTCTCACTATTAAATTTCATCCTATTACTATTACTCTAATTTACAAGATCATCCAGATCTTCCTGTATGATATCCCGATCTTTTTCTGACTTGGCAATACCTCCCAACTTTTTGTCATCCTCAAACTTTATTAGTACACTCCCTTTTTTAGTGCTGAGGTCAGTAATAAAAAGATTAAATAATAATCTTATTATTATACAAAGCATAGCTATGCCAGTGGAAAATACATAGAAGTGTCTTGCTCAGTATTGGCTAGTGGGGTGACAAATGTCATGGCTTTTATGAAAAAGCAAATTTATTGTTTTAATATTTTGTGTCGTGGAAATCATAGCTGTAGTAGCCTTAAAGTTTAGTATTCCATGATATCCAGTATCTTATTTTTGGAAACCATTACTTCAAAGGCATATTACTTTTAAATTAATATATAAAATTACCGTTATATCTCCTTATCAAATATTTGTTGCCTTTCTGCCTCTTCTTTTGCTATTGGTTTTTCTCATTCTTTCCTACAATAATCCACAATCCAGTATTCCAAAAATATTTCGTTCTTCAAGTGGTCGGAGTTTAAGCTAAATTTGTAAACTATAAAAATGTAAACTCCTTTGCATGCTTGTAGCTCCTATACTTGTAAAAAAGTATGTGGCAATAGTATCAGATGGCTAATTGCAGCATACATAATTATGTTTTGGGCTCAGAGTATTGGGTTTTTTGTTTTTTTTTAATTTCCAACTTGGAGTCTGTAACTGCTCTGAGGAGGAATCCTACACACTGAATCTATTTTGTTAAATGTGGTGGTATGCTTGAAAAGGAAACTTTGACTTTACTTGTGGAAGATGACATGCATTTTTCATCTGACAGTTGCAGTAATGGTTTTTATCCTAAATTGCAGTCAGTTTAAAGTTGAAATAATTAGAAAATTCAGAGTAACTTTTTTCTATATCAGGTGCTTTGTTTTTATTTGAGAAATAGCTCTCTAAGATGTGTTGTAAAATACCAAGCTAAAAACAAGACTGCTGTAAAGCTTCTGTTGTTAACTATGCGTTTGTCTCTATTCCAGAAATTCCATTATAAAAATCTCCTTCTTGGTGAACATGATGTGCCACTAACATGCATTGAACAAATTGTCACAGGTATGGAAAAGTCATTGGTGAAAAGCTTAAAAGATGAGTTTGTATGAGTCAGTTGCTTTTTATAAAAAAGGCATAGGTTGTGTACAGTTAAGGTTGAATTTCATTTAGTCTTTCTATGAAGTTACAAATTCATTTGCTTTTCTGACTTATGCCTAAATTTAATCTAAAAACTGGGTGAAATTAAAATGAGAAGTTTTGCAAGACTTGCATTAAATGTATTTTAAAAAGAACATGAAAACTATGTGATGTTGCAAATTCTGAACCTTAATTGTTCAAGACACATTACCTTCTTAACAACTGTTGGTTTTTCTGTTTTTATTGAGAATTGTTTTTATATAAAATTGAACAGCTTTTCCACTTAAAATTTTAAAATTGGAAAAAAAATAACCCATGATGGTAAGAATTACAATAGTTTGCAGGTGGTATTTTTACCACAAGCCAATTAGGCCAAACACAACAAAATATGACATTATATTGCAGTTCTGATTTTAAGATGATCTCTTTCTCTAACTTTATAGCAGCTTTTAAACAGCTTCGCAACCTCTGCAGGTGAATTTCTGTCTTCTAACAGAAACTATGGGCAGTGTGTGTGGTGCTCCTGATTTTGAAGTTAATTATGTCAAATTTAATAGTTAAGTTTAAAATTAGAAACTTTTATCCAGTTTTGAAGGACCAGCTTTTAGACTTCAGTGATTCAGCACAAGCTCCCATAGCATTTATTAAGATTTGTCAACATTACGGAAGGAGCATCATTATATTGATACTTCCATCTATTAGCCTTTTGATAACAGTCTCTCTCATTGGACCTTCCCTGTTGTCTCCTTCTGAAATGGTTCCCTCTCTGCTGCAGAAGATTGAATGTTGGTAAACCAACACTGCCATGACAAAATTTTTAATGATCTCTCCACAGACCTTCCAAAAGTCACTATTGACTGGTGGGCCCTGGTATCAGCAAAATGATTTATAAATAATAGAGGACATTTTCCATTATGTTGGTACATTGGTGTTATTTTTCCATTGTATTGAAAAGGTCACAGAAATTATTCTGGGAATTACTGAGTAATTAATCTCTCAAATTATTTTTAAAATCTCTTGCAGATATATCCTGAGGAGATTAATGGATTAGATGGAGAGTTGTAATCTATTTACATGGGAGCAAGCCACTTTCAGCTTGGGCTGCTCTGCTATTGATGATTGTTTTGTCTTTACTTATTTGTCCCAAGGAGATAAAATAATAGATAGTCTCTGTCGTTTGAAATTGGCTTATGATTCCATTAACAGAGGTTGTCTCTGGGAGAAATTTGCAAGGATTGGTGTAGAATCTTCCATAGCTAAATTGTGGACAATATCAAGATAGAGGAGGGGTTTTCCGACTGTGGCTTGAGACCCCAAAGTGGATTGTGACCCAGTTTTGCCATGATTGACTTAGACTTGCTTGGGCCCAGGGCCAAAGCCAAAACAGTTGGGCTTCAGCCCTAAGTGGGGGGGGCCCAGATCACTGTCCCCCCTCTGAGGCTGAAGCCCTTGAGCTTTGGCTTTGCTCCCATCTTCCCCACCAGAGGTGGTGGAGCTCGGGCTTTGGTCTCCCGTTTGCGGATCATGGTGTCATGAAATTTGAGAATCCCAGAGATACAGTGAAGGAGGTGAGGTCCTTGGCTTTATTTCTATCAAAAGGGGGATTTTGTCCTCTTTCTTTTTTTAACTGCATTAGGTTGTGGTGTGCTTGAAAAGAGGTTCAGTATTTTCTTTCAAAAATTTTGAACAGATTGGTCTCAGTCTTTTTTACCCAGAACTTAGACTTTTATTATTACTCTTGTTGTTAATGAAATGCCTAAAAAGTGATAGAGGCAGAGACTGAGCAAAAAAAAATGTTAAGTGGCAGAGATCACATTGACTAATGAAACATCATTACTAGGATCATATACAATAATTTAGAAAGGACTTTAAGGAGAGGACTCATGATGAACAACGTGGGAGGCAAGATTGGTTGCTGAGAGGTGCTGTATATGAAATCCTTTGTTCATGGAGTATAATTATCCATCCCCAAAGGTCATTTGACATAGGGGAAATGAAAACAAAAGATATAAGTCCTTTTTATTTGGAAAGCTAGACATTTTATCATAATGTGACTCAAAGGAACAGCATCTGTTCTATTCAAGTAATATTTATTTTCACATTGTTGATATCATTTGAATGTAATGGTATTTTTCTTTAAGAGTATGCTCTGTACTTGAGCTTTAACAATTGTTTTTGTTTTGTTTTAGTAAATGACACAAAGAGGAAACAGAAAGTCCTTGGTCCCAACCAGAAACTGAAATTTAATCCTACAGAATTAATTATTTATTGCAAAGATTTTCGTATTGTTCGATTTCGCTTTGATGAAGCAGGCCCTGAAAGTGTAAAAAAGGTATTAAAAACTTGTAATTTTTCCTTAAAATTCCTTATTATGATGTGCTACTGGAAGTGCTGGTTCTAGTATTATGAAATATCTCATTTTGTCTTTTTCAAACTCTTGTTATAGATTAAGCAAGACCAATTCAGTCTCAGCAATTAAAAAGTCCCATTTCATCTTTATCTAAAGCCCAGATATGTATTTGTAATTGTGTTTTATAATAATCTAATTACAGAAAATACTTTCAGGGTGAACTGTGAATCTGTTCTAGTGCAGATGATGTAAATATGCCTAAAATTTATATAACAAATGTTATCTAGTGTATTTTCACTAATACATCAGGAAATATGTACATAGGTATTACGAATGCTTCTGCATTAGAACAGCTGGTGTCTGAAATATGCTCGCTTAAGAGGTGTAGTGCAGCAAGTGTTTATTTTCCCAGTATAAATCAACTTTCATCTGGAAAGCCCTCATTGGAGAGTGAGTAGTTTAGTCTCCTTTCCCATTCTTTCTTTCTTTCTTTCGTTCTTTCGTTCTTTCTTTCGTTCTTTCTTTCTGCCGAGGCCCATCATCAGGAGTGTGAATTATAATAGTGATTTATTTTGTGGATACCTGTTCACTAGAACATGGCACTCCTTTACATATGCTACCAGACAGCTTTTGAATATTAATTGTTTTCACCACTGCAAGAGGTCAGATTCATGACCATTACCCAAAGGTGAAAAGAGAGTTACCAATCCACTGCATCAGCAAATCTTAAAGCCTGGTTTTCAGACCTCACATAAAGGCATATTTGTAGATCTGCTTTATATGTTCCCTTTTAAATGTTCACTCATAAATCTATTATGTGTACACATAGCTAAACGTGCATTTAGTCATGTGCATGTGCAAACTGGAAATTTGTGCTACTGTTTTCCAATATGCAGTTGCATTGCGTGCCTGCAGTTGCATTGTGTGCCCCAGTTAAGTGCACTCTTACAGTGCATTAGTGAAGTCCAAATCTGTTCTACTTTAAAAGCTGACAACAGATTTAGGGAGCCAGTATTTTAAAGGTTGCTTTAGAGCTTCCAAAGCTGCAATCAAATTATATATTTGAACCACATATCACACTGTAGAAATTTTGTTACTGCTAAAAATGGAAAATGCTAGATCCTTCCAAGGTGTTGTGGAAAATGCTAACCTAAAGTTACCCAAAAGTTAGAATGCTGAAATTTAAATATACTTTCTGGAATCTGGATAGGCATTTTTGTGACAAATGCTCGGAGTTCCAAATTTGTTAAAAATTCCAAGTAAGTGTTTGAGGTTTAGTAAAGAGTGAACAAGTCCATTCATTGACCCTTCCTGATATATTGGTGCTGGGCTTTTTAAATTCTGGGAACCCTTATGTAGAAAAGAAGTCTGATGTGTAAAAACTGTAACATGCTAAATCCATACAGATTAGATTATTAGCTGCATTCATATTTTTGGTGTTTAAATAAAAGGGAATTTCCTGATCTGCAAAGTGGTTTGTACTCCTCAAACAAGCAACCTTGACTGTTAGCATACCTCCCAATACCAATGATATAGACTCTCCTCCCCTTCCCCCCTCCCCCCCTGAATTTTTCTGTGGCTCTCTGTGCCTTTTTTTTTTTTTAAGCTGGAAAATAATTGCAGCTTGTACAAGCAGGATATTCTGTCTAGCATCATCACTTTTACATGCCTCATCAGTTGGCACTAACAAAATAAATCAACCAACCGATTCTTTTAATCAATAAAGAATTGGGAAGGTTGAAATAGCTGCATTTGATTAACAGAAATTCAGTTTACCTAACCATTGCTTCTCATTGACCCATTAGTATTGACTGGTGGAGATATTCGGTATTTTGAATATGCAAATGCTGTGTAAATATAAATTCTTATGAAGGATAGTACTTGTCAGTGTTCTCTCTAAGCTCCCAGCTAGCTGGGAGAGACTCACTGCTTTGTCCTCAGCAGGGAGCTGCTGCTGTCCCTGAAGTAGTAGTGACACCTGCATCCAGGGAGCTCCATGTGTGGAGCCCTGTGCCCCTAGCTGGGCTGGGCTCATTAAGCAGCTGCAGGACTGTGCTACTGCACATCTTAGAGGGAACACTAGTACTTGTAATCTTGAGTAAACTGCCAAATTTCAGATATAAGAATGTGTTCGCTAGAGGGAGTAGAAAAAAGTCAAAGCAATTCTTAACTTTTTAATTACATGGCCGCTGTGCACGTACATAATTTTGAAGCTCAAACTACATTTCGGTTGTAGAAGCACTTTTCCTTTCTCTGGCAGGTCAAATGACAAGAAATCAACTTTCTAGCAAATGCAGAATGATGAGAACATTTTATGTATTCGGTTTAATCAGAGAAGAAGGGACCTGTGATACCTTGGATCAGATGCTTCTGTCTGTGTTGGCATTTATCTTGCATCTTTCAGATCTATGCTGTGGCATGTTTTGGGGGGGTTTTTTATATGGCCTCTGTTGCTTCCCTACTTACCTCTCAGCATGAATAAGACACTGTTTTATCTATAGGTGAATCTTTGAGATGAACCTAGTCAGCCTTTTTATACCTCCAATTTTGAGGACTCCTTTAATATCACTTCTGCTCATGGATTTAGAACATATCTAAGCTATATTGATTGTGGCTGCAAAACTGTCTATAGCTTGCGAATGCAAAAAGAGAGGGCCACATCTTTAAAAATCTGGGCCTTGTCAAATTTTATTCGGAGAAAATACTGAGTTGAGTTTTCCTAGGTGCAAAGGTGGCATAGTGAATTAAAAGCTAAATAAAGTTCTAGAGGAATCCCGACTTTTCTCTTGGGGAAAAATCAAAATAAGGATGTGTCTGCTATACCATTTTTTTGCCTAATTAGTTTGTGTGCTGCTGCTTGTGCTAGGTTGTAAATTAGTAATGAAACCTATGAGCTGCACAGAATTGTATGTTTATAAATTCCTCCAAGGGCTTGTTGATTGGACAGTTTAATTTAAAAGATGCCTGTTCACATATTAGGTAATAAGATCATAAAGCTTAGCAGTTGTGTTATAGAGCTGTTAATTGGTCAAACTAATTCATCTAAGGACAAGTGTGAGAGATTTATAACCCAAAACGTGGTCCCAGATAGCATTTTTTTCTCTCTTGACAACTGAAAATAATTTTGAAGAAAAGTCACAATTACCCATTGTTATAGGTTCTGTTCCATTTTCTGAGGCAGCCTCCATTTAAAATCAGAAGCCTTCCAGTGTAGTCGTTGTACGGCTGAACTTCAGTGATTTTTTTAAAATCGTATCCTCAGCTAGGGTGGCTAGGTGTATGGCTTTCAACTGAACACCTATTTGAAAAGAGATCCCTTCCCATCCAGTGAAAATGAGCATGGGTAGTGGGGGTGGGGAGAGTGGAGTAAGTGGGGAGAGGCCTCCGAAAAGGGCCAGGCAAGAGTATTTGGTTTTGTTTGGTCAGAAAGTTGGCAACCCGACATGACATTTAATTTGGTAAATTTTGCATAACTGAACTTAGCTGTGCAAGTCAGAGCAGATAAATTCCCCTCTCCCATAATAAAAGGAAAAACTATGTAGCACTTTTTTCTTTTTTTCCTTTTGTTTTAGCAAGATCAGACTAACACGGTTACTTCTCTATTACTCCCTCCCATAGTGAGTATGATCTCTTTAGGACAGTGTTCCTCTGAATTGATATCACTTGAAGCTAAACACCTTGAAATATTCAAATGTAGTAAACATAAAAAACACATTCGCTGCTGGAAACTAGGACAATTAAGAGTTGCACTCTGCAACTGAGGCTTAGGCTTATTTTTAAAATAAAGCATTTAGAAAAACTTGAATAGAATTATTTTAAAAACTAGCTTTGAATTCCTATTAACCTTTTCACATATTTGCTGTCTGAAGACCTGATACTTCAAACATCTGTAAAGAAGTGTTACTTGAGTCATGCGAGTACTCCCTTGAAATGAACGTGACTGTTTCTCTGAGTCATTTTGTGTGCCAGTTTTTGCAGGCTGGGGTCCAAAGACTGTGATCTGTCCTATGGAGAGTTTTGAGAGGAGGAAGAAGGGGAATAGGTTGTAGTAAAAAAGCTATTTGTTCGTATTCCAGCAGGTATGAGACATTTGGGAATTGACAGTACTGATCTGTGTCTAAAATGAAAAAAAAAATACGTTTGAAGCCTAGTATAACCAATAGAGGGGACATCCGGATTTAGTTGAGTATTTTGCTGTGTCCATAAACAAATATGCTTTATTAATGGTATTGATACAACTTTAAAAGCTAATTTTTCTGATTTCCCCATGCCCAAACTGCTCAGAAAAATTTGACCTCCAGATGCCAGAAGATTTGAAATTTCAGGAGGATTAATTTATTTGGGGGCAAATTATTATGAAGGGATTTGAAAATCATGATTAAAATAAGAAGCTAGCTTCATTCTGAACTTGGAACAGCAGATGACAAGCTTCTTAAATGCTCCCTTGCACTCTTAAGTCTTAAGTTACATGCCCATTTGAGGGGGGTATAATATCCAGAAGGATATAGATAGCTGTTGGGCTAGTGAATCATGGGGAAATCTCCGGACTCATCTTTATTATACAGTTTGATTCAGCTGTTTTGCCCTAAAATTAAAGCCAAGGAGCCTCCAAGGAAGGAAAACCAGATGGGTGTGGGAGGAAGGGGAAGTTGGAGTGAGGGTTGTGAAAGGCTTAAGCCTGGAAACTTGAAAAGAGAAGTAATGGCTATTTTTACAATTGAATGAAATGAAGAATTTTTAATTTAAATTCAATTTAAACGTGGCAATCATCAGGAAGAAGGGCTATCCTCTGGCCATTGTGGCATCTTGTTACAAGTTCAATTTAAAATGTTTGAAATCTTAAGGACTGAGATTATAGTTAAACCTGTGCAGTCAATACAATGTATCACTTTATTTTGATTCTTAGTATTTCATGCAATAGCATTAAAGCGTTATTAAAAATCAGTCTGTTTTCCTAATTATACAATGGGCCAATTTCAGAA